CTGGTGAATCCTCTTACTGCCCCTGTACCTCTGGCCTGTACCCCAGTTCTGTATGCATATATAAATGAATCTTTAAAAAAAAAGAAAATCATTTAGTTCTTTTAAAAAGAGCTAGATAACCTTCAAAATTATTTTCTACTCTAAAATTTCTTTGGTAAGTAATTAGAAATAAAGCTCATAAAATGTTGCAAATCTGTGGTAACATCTTCTAATTGGTTAAGAAGGTAAATAGAAAATTAAGACAGTTTTAAGTGACACTTAATAGTTTTTGTTCTAAGTTCAATCAGCATAGTCATCAGCTGATACCTACTCCAAACCCTTTGGGTCAGTGGCATTGAACCCAATTCCACAAAAAATAATACATTTTCTTTTTGCTTCTTATTTCATTGAGCAATAATCCCTTCCAGCTCCATCCATGTTGCTGCAAATGGAATGAATTTATCTTTTGGATTGCTGAGTAATACTCCATTGTACATATACCACATCTTATTAATCTAGTCATCTATTTCTGGGCATTTGGGTTGTTTCCATATGTTACCTGTTGTAAACAGAGCTGAAAAATACCCGATGGTTTCACTTATAGGGAGGATATAGGAGAACTAAATAAGGGATTTGGAAAAAATATTATAATAAAAAACAAGATTAATAGACAACTATAAATCAGAGACATTCTGCAAGAGAGAAGGCAGAGTGATCAAAAGAGGGCAGTGAGGGCACCTCCCTCATGGTGCAAGGGGTTAAGTCTAGGCACTATGAAACAATCAGCAGTCACTGCAGCATGGAATCCATCCTTGACTAAGGAGCTACCTCACATGGCACTGTAGACCTCTCTGTCTTGCCCACTGCTCCCCTGAGCGATGAATTTCAGTAGACCTGCCTGTTCTGCTCCCCACTATCTCTGGTGAATCTTCTCATCCTCCACATCTCTCCCCAGTTCTTCTACATAAAAATAAATATAATCTTTAAGAAAAATAAAAGCAGGAGGGAAGAGCACAAGGGGACTATGGTGATTATGCACCTGTGAATTGGTGATGGGAATTTTACAGAAGTATGCCTGAGAGGAGAAAGCGTACATTGTACAAAAATGAAGAATGTTGTAAATATACAAAAAATAAAGTAAATTAAAATAAAAATAAAACTATGGGTGAGCATAACCTAAAAAACTGTTTTGCCTACTTGAGCAAACTAGTAGTTGAACTATTACCCTTAGAAGCTATAGATTAGTAACATTTGATGTTAATGTGGTATGAGACGACAGCCTTACAGACATGGAGGTTAAGATAGGAAAAATGTATGTATAGTGACAGATATTATCTAAACTTATTGTGATCATTTTGCAATATATACAAATATAAAATCTTTATGTTGTGGCCTGAAACTAATAGAATGTTATATCAGTGATACTTCACTTAAAAAAGGGAAAAAATGTATACAAAAACAATTTTTAAAGAGATGAATTTCGATTTGTTATTGAATTTATTAACAAGTAATAAAAGGAGGTGAATTGATTCACATATCAAGGAGACTCTTAAAATAAGGAATTTGTACTTTATTGAAAACATAAAGAAACCCTGGTTGAAAAGTTGTCCAAAATTTGCAATTGAAACTATTTTTACCTCACCTCTAAGGTCAATATCACATAAACTGTTTAAGATATTTTTCATTCTTTAATGTAAAGATATTTCTTTTAAGTATGGTGATTTAAGTGTATATTTTCCCTTGTACCCCTCCCTCCCTATCCTTTTCCTTCTCCCTTCCTTTTTTTAACCCTTCCAGCCCCATTTCTTGCCCCCAGAAAAGATTTCTTATGGTGGCCACCCAGTCATTACCATTCTAACACTACTTAAGGTAGCACTGCTGGGTTCATTTATTTTGAGTCCTACAATCTAGTTTCTTTTTAAACTGACTTCCTAAATCAAGTCGAAAACCAGTTTATTGTCTCCCCATTTCACTTCAACCACTTGCGATTTAGATTGGTTAGGAACATGTAATGTAGTCCGGGCACAACCTCTTCCTCTTGGAATCAGATTTTCCAGACTTCCTCCTTTCCTGGCTGAATGTGCTGAAGTCAGGCTGAGTACCTAGTGAAGGACTTCAGCCCCCACAGTTCCCTGTGTGCGCATGCCCTCTCATCTTACAGTTGTCAAAGTGCTTTTGCCAGAGCGGTCACATAATCAACCTGAAAGAAGAAAATAAATACTGTACATGTAAATTTTTTATCGATCTTTAAAAACTGGACACTCGAAGGTAACTGCTACTAGAATTTATTATTTGTGATGGGGTTATTGCTTGTAAAGCAAGATCTATTGTGTGTGTGTGGTAGGGGGAGGGGAAGGAGGTCTCTCCGACTTTGCTGTAAATAAGAAAAAACAACAAAAACCTACCCAAAAGTCTGTACAAGCAGTTACTGAGAGACAGGGTAGATTAACTCTGTGATATCTTAATCCACTGCTTATCTTCAAAACGGTCTTATTTATTTAAGATGGGTCTTGACCTTGACAGAGTGAATTTATGCAGATAGTAAAATTCATAGCTGTAAGGAGTGTTGAAAAGAGAAACTGTTTGTGATATGAATTTTTAAAATTTTAATAAAAATATTTATAGCCTTCATAAATTATTCTAACTCCACCTTACTTTTTACCTTCTTTGCTATAGTACAGCATTAAATTTTTTCCACCAAGAGCATGTAGTTTAATTTGAAGGTATTAACAAAGAGTATTGATACATACATTGAACAAGCTTAGTGATATTAAAGTTATTGCCAAATGGATATTTCAGCCATGATGATCCGACTATTGTAAAGATGGTTCTAGTGACTGAAAGCTATTCAAATTCCTTATTATAATGGTTTATTGCAGCCCTACTTAAACTCAGTATGAAAATGTCTTTCTATGACCATTTCCTTTGGCAGCAATAGAACTTAGTACTGTTGTGAATCCAAGCTTTGCTTATATCTTTGTGCTATATTTTACAACTCTGATCAAAGCCATTGTTTTAAACCAAGAGAACTGAGGAGCACAAAACTGAGGTTTTATTTGTAGTTGCTGGTAGCTTATGCTATATATTGGGTTGGGTTTTTTGAGGAGGGAATGACAGAGGAGTTAGGAATAAAAAGGAGTGTAAGGTGGCTGTGAAGCATTTCCTTGAGTTCACTATTTTGGCTTAGTATGAAACTTTAAGATAAAAGATAACAACCACTTTAAAGAGTTTTCAATAAAACAGAATTACATTGAATCCCATTTTTAGTATGACATTTGGCTTAATATTTAACAGAAATACTACTTGCCAATACATATATTTTACCATAGTTAGTATCATGAGGGTATCCAAAGGCAGTTTCTGTATGTATCTGAATGCCCTTTCACAAGTGTACTGAGGAGGATGCTTCTCCTAGTATCTAAGTTAATTAAATGCATTACATATATTAATAACTATGTTGCAGTCATTCTGGATCATCATCTGAAAGTAATTATATGTTTGGTCTTATTCTACTTTAACATTTCAAAATATTTGTTTTCAGGGTTTCAGAACTATAATATTAACATATCTAAAACAATTAACATGTTCTAAGGGGCAAGCTAACTCAATAACTATGTGTATGGACGTCTCCCTCCTGGGTTTGAGTGATTACTGTTTTCATTCTTGCATAAGAAAGCAGGGTGTGTGTCAGAGGTGAATGTAGCCCTTCTATGCAAAACGGAAAATACCATACACTCCTTATATGGTTAAATGAAGCAGTAATGGCAATGCACTATAATTACAATGTATGAGAATTTGGGACTTTGTACTATGCTATTTTTATCACTTTTGCTAGCATATGGTAATTCAGGGTCTTCAAACCATAATCTTTCACTGATAATACTAGTGATAAGTGAATGGATTCTAAATTTGCCAGTCTTGTGACCAAGGCAGCAGCAGGATGGTTCAAAAATGAAAATCTGGCAACCCCAGAATTATCTTGATTGTCTACTTAAATCTCAGAGGGAATTTAACCCCCCCCACTCCATCTCACTGTCTTTTCCCTCCCTCTCTCGCTCCGCCTCTCCCCTTTCCCCCCTCCCCCCCAACTCTCTGACCTCAAATCCAACCAGAACATTTCTCCACTCTGCAGAGAAATTCTCAGGCTCCTGTTAAGACCTGAAGCACTTAGATGCCAAGAAATTTCTTTTGCGGCAGAATTGGATACAAGAAAATTGGAGAATAAGCAGAAAATCCTAATCCTTACAATAACAAGAAGCAAACACATCCCAAGGTTTCACTAGATTTTTACCTCTTTAAAAAGCAGTCGGGTTTGGTGGTGTGGTTTTTTTTTTTTTTTTTTTTTTTTTTGTCTCCTAACAAAATGGAGTAGCTGCAGCTACTGGAAACCAGACAAGGATTGTGCAGCTGAGTCCTCCTAACAAATGCCAAGGATTTCCTCCCTCGTGGTTCGCTGCTGCTAAATGAAACAATTATCAACGCAAGAAAGCAGTTTGTTAATCAAGAGGGGTACGATGGCAGTTCTTTTAAAATGCCCGAGCTGGGAAGGGGAAAGAAAGGGTCGTGTGCGGTGTCTTTTTAACCTTGCTGAAGGACGCAGCAGTATTTATTGACGTATGCAAATAACTGGGGGAGGGTGGTGCTTGGGAAAAAACAGGAACCAGAATCAGTTTCTCATTGCAGGGTGAACGCTCTGAGTTCCGGTGAAGGGAAAAGAGACGTGGCGAAATTGCTGTCTTTCTGTCTTATAAGCACATCTCTCTAATACAGAAAAGGAACCAAGACATCAGAAAGGGTGAAGACGCTCTCACAGTATTTTTAGAGACCGTGCGCGAATTCTCCTCCCCCCCACCCCCCACCCCAGCCGGACCTGTTCTGCTAAATGGGAGATTATGGATTTGCATTGCAATTGGCTAGTAGCGGTGGCACAGGATTTTCGCAAGTAAAACACCCACCCGCTTTGGCGAGGGGTATTAACGATTACATTGACAATAACGCATCTCTCTTTTTTCCCGTTTCAGCTGCGCAAACCATGCAGGATGATTTACTGATGGACAAAAGCAAAACCCAGCCCCAGCCCCAGCAGCAGCGGCAGCAGCAGCAGCCCCAGCCCGAGCCCAGCGCAGCCGAAGCCCCGTCCACGCCCCTCTCCTCAGAGACCCCCAAGCCGGAGGACAACAACACAGTGCCGGCCCTCAGCCCTGCCGCGCCCCCGCCGGCTCCTAACGGCCCCGACAAGATGCAGATGGAATCGCCGCTCCTGCCGGGCTTGAGTTTCCATCAACCCCCTCAGCAGCCGCCGCCGCCCCAGGAGCCCACGGCACCGGGAGCGTCGCTGTCGCCGTCCTTCGGCAGCACCTGGTCCACAGGCACCACGAACGCGGTAGAGGACAGCTTCTTCCAGGGGATCACCCCAGTCAACGGGACCATGCTCTTCCAGAACTTCCCGCACCACGTCAACCCAGTCTTCGGAGGCACCTTCTCTCCGCAGATCAGCCTGGCGCAGACCCAGCACCACCAGCAGCCGCCGCCGCCAGCGCCGCAACCCGCTCAGCCCGCACAGCCCCCGCAGGCACAACCCCCGCAGCAGCGCCGGTCACCCGCCAGCCCCAGCCAGGCGCCCTACGCGCAAAGGAGCGCCGCGGCGGCGTACGGCCACCAGCCCATCATGACCAGCAAGCCGTCCTCGTCTTCGGCCGCCGCCGCCGCAGCAGCAGCGGCCGCCGCCTCGTCGGCCTCTTCCAGCTGGAACACCCACCAGAGTGTGAACGCCGCCTGGAGCGCACCGTCCAACCCGTGGGGTGGCCTGCAGGCGGGCCGGGACCCTCGCCGAGCGGTCGGCGTGGGTGTGGGCGTGGGCGTAGGGGTGCCTTCTCCGCTCAACCCCATCTCGCCGCTGAAAAAGCCCTTCTCCAGCAATGTGATCGCGCCACCCAAGTTCCCCCGAGCCGCTCCGCTCACCTCCAAGTCCTGGATGGAGGATAACGCTTTCCGGACCGATAATGGTAACAATCTGTTGCCATTTCAGGTAAAGCTCCGGTGCACCTGCACCCGCCTTCCACCTACCTGCTCCCTTTCCCCCTTCCCTGCCCTTTAGTTGTTCACTGATTTTTGTTCTTTCAAAAATGAAGTGATGTCCGGCCTCCCCGCCCCCTTCCAAAGCCTGCACTGTCTGAACCCCTAGCGAGTCCACTGTGACTGCTGGAGGGATTGTATTTGTGCACCCTGAAAGGATAGAAAAGGACCTTTTTCTTTCAGTTTGTGTTTTCCTTTACCCTGCTTGTACCTCTGATTTTGACCTTCTGTGACAAAGCTGCAAGTGTATGGCAAATTGCCGGCGTAGTCTCGGGATGAGTAGGCTGAGGTTCCTGTCGTTTTAAGTAGCTACACACTTCAGGTTATGCAATCCTGGGCTCAGGGTGGCCTCTGAAAGCCATGCGTTCCCGACCACCCTTGACTCTGCTCTTACAGAGAGGTTAGCCTCCTTTGAGTGGTGCTATTTCAGACAGTTGCATATGCTTAATTAAACTAATGTGAACACATGTGTTTATGTCTCGCTAAGGTGCTGGCGTCATTAATAGCAATCAGCATATTGCTCCTGCTGGGAAAATTATTAGTGTGAGATTCCAGTAAACAACGAACTCTATAAGGGAACATTGTGGAAGAATGGAAATTCTAGTGGTAACCCTTCCTATGTTAACTAGAAGAAATACTTAGAAATTGTTTTTTTCCAGAGGAAAGAGACAATAGGACGCGACCTTCAGAGCCATATTGCAATGGAGTCTATTTGCTAGCTAGCACTGAAATATTTAAAGCTGCAGTGTCCTTCACCAGTTGGGTTATTTAAGAAGACAATGCAGATCAATTACACCATTTGAAACCCGGCAAAGTGAAACTCTTGAATCTTTAATGAAAAGTGAGCCTTGTGTCTTGGTGTTAAATGCCAATGAAAAACCCAGGAAGTACCCCAGACAAAAAGGTTGAATGTAGTGTCCTTAGTCTGTTCTTGCTTTCTGATCCAGCCCATAGCCACATCTGTTGGCAGAGTCCTGAAGGGGGTTTGGAAAGGGGTGGTGACTGTGAGTGTTCATTGGGGTCCTTTGTTCTCAGGCAAACATTTATCTTTCACTTACAAAATGATTTGCCTATAAGCTTCTAGGCTTAGTTTAAAAAGGAGAGAAGGGTGTCCCTGGTGGCCTAGGGTTAAGTCTCAGTGATGTCACCCTTAAGACCTGAATTTAACCCCTGAGCTAACCCATATGGGGCAGCAGACCTCTCCTAGTTCTCCTGCACTCCCCTTAGCAGTCTATTTCAGTAGATCTGCTTGTTCCGCTCCCCACTTTGTCTTGGGTGAATCCTCTCATCCCCTGCACCTCTGGCTTACACCCCAGTTCTTCCGTGCAAAAAAATAAATAAATAAAATTTAAATATATGTCTATGTATATACATATATATATTCACAACCATACTACTTTTTTTAAAACATGTTTGTTTGTTTTAAAAGATTTATTTATTTATGCTTACAGAACTGGGGTACAGGCCAGAGGTACAAGGGTGGTGAAAGGATTCGCCAGAATCAGAGTGGGGAGCAGAACAGGCAGATTGACAAAGTACACTGCTGAGAGGAGCAGTGGGTGGGACAGGAGAGGTCTGCCACACCATGTGGGTCGCCTCCCTGGCTGGGGATCTAACTCATTCTGCAGTGGCTTCATAGAGCTTCATAATGAGGTGCTTTAACCTGTTGCGCCACCAGGGAGAGCCCCACACACTACATTTTTAAGGGAAAAAAAAAAAAAAAGGAACGAAGAAAGGAAATAGAGAGGAGGGTTTGGGTAAGATGCATTTTGGGTGGGCAAGGAAATGAAATAAATCCTCTGAACAGTGCTGGAAAATGGCAGAACTGACATTTGTTAGAACGGAGGTAGTTTAAAGCATCAGGTGCATTTGAAGCTTTCATTTTCTTGCTCTTTACATTTCAGATGTGATGTTTGGGGGTAGTACTCATCTGTGAAAGAGGAGATAGGTTATTACGAAGTTTATAATTTACCAGGATAGTACAAAGATTTTTAACCTTGACAATGCACATCTTAAATTGTGTGTGTGTGTGTGTTTAAAGATTTATTTATTTATACATACAGAACTGGGCTATAGGCCAGAGATATAGGGGGTGAGAGGATTCACCAGAGACAGGGTGGGGAGAAGAACAGGCAGATTGACTGAAATACACTGCTGAGGGATCAGCAGGCAGGTCAGGAGAGGTCTGCCACGCCATGTGGGTCGGTCACCTCCCTGGCCAGGGATTGAGTTCCTGCTGCAGTGGCTGAGATAGCTTCATAGTGCTTTGACCCATTGTGCCACCAGGGCGGGACAAATGAGAGAGTATGTTTGCAGATTTTCACAAGGGTTCTTCCAGGATGGAAGATTTTAATATAAAAGTGTATTTTTCCCATTGTTTTAAAATCTACCAAACGTCTCTGGTAGGTATAGAAAAGGAGGACTCTGCTTTCTGGAAGCAAATTCTGCCTAGTTTTTGGAAGGGGAAGACCTTTGGTAAAAGAGCCCCTATTTTTCTAACACTCAGTTTCTTCATTCTGATGTTCCATACCTAATTTCTGTCTTAGAGGATAACCTAAAATTTTATCGGGAGGTTTAGATGTTAGGAGCTAATAGTATAGACATCACTTAGCTTTTCCTTGGACTTGAATCTGAATATGACTAGCTTTTGATTAATTTTCTCCAGAAATTTGGACTGGGTAGAAAATAAATCCATAAAATATCGCCAGCCCTGACATTGATAAGTAGTGCGGAGATTGCCAATTGTTCCTCAGCCAACAATTTACCAGTAATGCTAGTGAAAGCCACACTGGCTATGTTGTGTTGGTCTCTTCTCCGTGGTGGTGCTATTAAGTAGGCAAAAATTTATAGGAGTAGAGATTTATAGGAGTAGAGATTTGAGCTTCATGCCTTTGAAGATTTACATGTACTTTAGGTCTCACTTTTTTTTTTTTGCTCACTTCAAATGGGAGTAATAACTCCTTGCTTCATAGGAGTTCAAATGAGAAGCAGCATATAAAGAGCTTAGCATAGTGCCTAGTTCATCGTAAACTATCTGTAAATGTTTGGTTATAGTTGTTATTACAGTAGTTACCAGAGAAACCTCATGATTTTGTCATAGAATGGATTACTAATTTTTCATATAGTGAAAATTGAATAACCTCAGAATCCTGTGTAACATCATTTAGATTTTTTTCTTTTCTGTCTGAAGATACCATCTGGTCACTTGTAGCAATGTGATAGCCCAACATTTACCTAGGGGCCAGGCCTTGTGATCAGCCGTTTACATATAGTTCCTCAGTGAAACTTTTTTGAGAGGTAGAGGACTGTTATTATCCTCATTATACTAACAAAGAAATCAAGGGTTAGTACATTTACTTTATTTGCTAAAGATCACACAACCAGAAACTGGCAGAGTTGGGATTTGAACTTAGGAGCAATCTGCCTTCAAAGCCAGTGGAGCTATAATAGCTCCAGGACGTTAGTTAACAACACGTAGAAGCAGAAGACTGGGCCGAATTTGTTCTTTACCTTATAGTGTACTCTGGACATTGTGTCTTTAAAATTTTTTGAATAGATAGAAAGGGAGGAAGGAAAATACAGTGCATAGACACACATATACACATCACTACTTAGATTCAATACTTGTCAATATTTTTCCTTAGATATTTATTTACTTAATATATCTGTTTTTGAATGTTGTTATATTTAGACAATTAAAATTATGTTTTACTTTCTGTGCATCTTTGTCCTTATAAAATCTCTTTTTACCCCTAACTAAATTAAAAGTGGTACACATTTTATATTTTCCTATAAAGGTCTAGTTAAATGTAATTCAGTGTTAATTTTGTTGTTGGGTTACTTGTAACAGAGGAAGAGATTCCTTACATGAATTCATGGAACTATAAGTGAATTTTAAAATTTGCCTATTCATGATAGATTTTGAAGAAATATGAATACTTTTCAACCAATCTGTGTTCCTTTTTCTTTTAGAACATCTTTTCAGGAAGTAAATATAAATTGCCATTTCTGCTTGCTCTGGGATAAGGATAATAATATATCATAGATATAAAATGTAGGCTCTTCCTTAGTTGGTTTTTAACTACTGCCCTCATGAAAAACCACTTAAGGTCCACCAACCCCACAAAATGTTTTAGAACCTGTTATGGCATGGTTAATGTAAAGGCCAACAAAGCCACATTATTTATGTTCTATTTGAAAAGGGGGGTTATTTAGGAAATACAAAGTTTCTATGTTATTAAAAACATTAATGTAGATGGTATTCTTCAAAATTGTATATTGAAAAGTTAAGTTTATGTAATATTCTTCATAACCTTGCAGTGAGGTGATACAGATATACGCTTTCAGAAATGTAATGTTTTTAAACATTCTTTTAGGACACAGATTTCTACTTAAATAGTTCTTTCCACTTAGCCTATTTTGCTGTCTTTCAAGGATTATGTAGATGTAATGTTTGTCTATTTGGAATTCATTATCATTGCTCAGGTGCTATTTATAGTTTTTTTTTAAATCAGCAAGTGTCAAGATTATGGCTTTATTTACTACAATATGAATAATTAGGTTAAACTGCGTGGATTTTACTGAAAAAAAGAGATGGAGGGTAACATACAGTATTGGACAACCTATTAATCTTGGACTGAGGTCAGAGCCTCAGCTCTGTCACTAATGATAGGGGTCAAGTTGTTTATTTGGTGGTTCTTTTTCCCAGTCTTCAAAAAATAGAGAGAGCCTATCTTTTGGTTTTGTTTTATAAGAGAATGTGTGCAAAGTGTTCAGAAAATTAGATACTGTATGGTTCTTAGATGCCTGCCTCCCTAACTGATAATTATAGTCAGAGTTAGAGTTTATTAGAGGAAATATTATTGATAGTAGTACAGAGTTAAATACTAGTTGATGGTGTCTGGAGGTAGAAAGATGTGTCCAGCAGGGAGCAGGGATAGAAGAGAGTAATAA